AAAAAAAAAAAAAGAAGAAAGAAAATTTTAAAATTTGTACACTCATATTTGTTATAGATGCATTTAGAAACTGGAAAAATATGCAAGAAATTAATAATTATGGTTACATAAATACAGTGGGAAAGTTTTCACTGTATATATTTTAGATTTTTTTAAACTATAAAAATATATTATCTATTCAAAAATTAATGTTAAAAAGCCTGAAGGAAGGAAGGCTCCGGCCAGGCTCCCTTCTCCAGTCAAGTTCGTCATTCCATGTCCTCCTCCTCCACACACTTGCTCATCCCCATTTGTCTGCCACCCCCATCCTGGCATCACTCAGGATTTGTGTCCCCCAGAAGGTCTTCTGTGAGGTCCCAGAAGATCACCCTTATGCACTGTGTTTCACTGCACTTTTTTGGAAGTTGTACATAGAGCTCTGAACTATAAGTTTCCTTCTCTCTAGATGAAGACGACAATAATATTTCACACTAAATCTCAGAGATTAAATAACTTGTTACAGGTCACCAGGACAGAGATGGGGCTGGAACCAACTCTGAGCCCCATCTAAATGCATTCTCCCCACTGGCCCCAGTCTGCCTGAAGGTATAGCTCCCAGCAATTCCAGTCCCTGGGAGAGAGTCCCTGCCCCCTTTGTCTGTCTTTACGCCCTAACAGAGTTCCGTGCTCAGTGACAGGCAATCACATGCCCCAGGAAGGGAGGGAGGGCAAGAGGAAGAGAAGAAGGAAGGAGAAAGAGAGGGAAGGGGTGGGGGAGGGGAACTCACTCTTGCAGAGACGGGTCCGAATCGTCAGCATTTGCGGTCCCCAGGTCTGAGTCGCAGGACATGGGCTCCTCGGAACGGTCTGGACTCTTGGAGCCAATCTCTTGGAGCAGGCAGCTGTCAGAGTTGAGGCTGCAAGAGAGCTGGGACGAACTGGCCGTGTCCAGACTGAGGGAGGAGGCTGTGAGCCCCCTGTTCCGTCGGATCTTATGGCCCGAGTGCTGGACCTCGATGTCCTCCGAGCCTGAGGAATGGGAGATGGAATCCAGAGACTCCTTCCGCTGTAGTTCTGCTCCAGAGGTAGTGAGGGGGTCGAGCTCCGAGAGTGGGCAGAGCCCAGAGAGGGCCAGCGGGGTGAGCGTCCACTCGTTTAGGATGGCAGACTTGTAGGAGAGCTCGAAGGACAGGGACGTCAGGCCCTGCAGGAAGCTCAGGAGGAACTCGCCCTCCTCGGCATCACGGAGCAGGGCCGTGGGCTGGTAGTACTCGCACAGGCGAGCCTGCTCCTGCAGCAGCAGCTTCAGGTAACACTCCATCAGGCCGTCATTGAGGGCCAGCCGCAGCCAGGCCCGGCAGCGGCCCACATCCGTGCTCACGAAGATCAGGTGCTCCAGTTCCGAGATGATGTGTCTGGGAAGGCGGAGAACACACGTGTTTTCAAGAAACAACTCCAAATCATGGACATGTCATTTTATCCACTGGTTAGCAAGAGCCAGTAACAACGACCACAAATATACATAGGCATAAAAAGCTCCTGGATAACAGTGTTCAAAGGGGAATTTAGAAAGGTTCAGCTCTAAACCCCCAACTTTTTTACATTTAGTGTAATGAAGGATTGTTGCCATTTTCATGACAACTACCCGTCCGGCCCCTGACATCATCTGCTCATCCAGGACATGTCTGCTAAGCCCCTAAATTTTAGGTTGAGGTCCTTGGAGCTGTGAAGACACAGGGTAAAGTCATGGTCCCTACCCTCGGTCCAGGAAACCGCCTTTCAAGGGCATATTGAGGTGAGCCCTGTTGTTAGCAGAGCTGGGGTGAGGGCTGGGTAATCACCTCTGGGTTGGAGTAACACCACAGAAAAGGGTAGTATCTGAGCCGGGCCTTGAGAGACTACAAGAGGCAAAGATGGATGGAGAACCTTTGAGGCACAAGGGACTGACAGAGAAAAAGGCATAAAGGGTAGGAAAGCAACAGACTGTAACGGGAGTGGGGAGCGCTCCAGTTACAGCACAGGGACGAAGAGTAGGTGATTGGGTTGCAAAGCCAGGTAATGCAGGGCCTTGAGTATCAAACGGGGGAGGCAAAGCGGGGCGATGCTCCCCACACCTGGCTGTGCATCTGAATCACCTGGGGAACTAGGTTAGGATACAGGTTCCAGGGCCCCAGCCACGTGAAGCAGACCCCAGGCTGGCGTTTGGGAGCCTGTGGGCTACAGGTTTTTGCTCAGCAAAGTGACGTGCTCGCAGCTACGCAGACTTCAGGGTGGGGTGTTCCTACCCAACTTGACCCCACATGTACCAAACTCAGCTCCTGAATGCCTCGGTCTGAGGTAAATGCCCCTCCTCTGACTACCGCCATCCCCTGTGCACGTCTCCTCCACGGGAGTGCAGACCGTACTCTGCAGAACCCAGTGATGGAGCTCCGGTCAGCTTAAGCTCAGTAAGTGTTGGCTGACTGACCAAAGGAAAGACAGAATGAGATAAGGGGGACAATTAGAAAGGCACTGCCACCCAGGAGTCAGGTAAGAGCCTGAGATAGGGCAGCGGCAGTAGCACGGGAAGGAAGATTAGAGACTGACAAAGGCACCTTCGGGCAGGAGGTGGCATTTAATAGCCCCGAGAGGCACGGTGTCAGCTGCCTGCTCCAAAGCCCAGGCAATTCAGGGCAGGGCCAGCAAGACAAGTGTCTCAGAGCACACATTCAGAGGCTCTAGCTGGATGCCACCCTTCTTAAAAAAGAGAAACAAACCCTACCTTGTTACAAGTATGATACGTAGCACACAGATGTGCAAACATCCTAAGGCAGGGTCAGCAAACTTCTGGAAAGGGCCAGACAGTAAAGATTTCAGACTCTGCAGGCCGCACAACCTCTGTTGCAACTACCGAATTTGCCAGAGGGTGGTACAAAGAAGGCTCCTGCTCCTGCTTAGGGCGCCCAGCCCAGGGGCTCAACGCTGCCCCAGGCCATGGCCTGAGGGGCTCACTGAGCCCTGGTCTAACATCCCCCCACTGCCACCCGGCTTGGTCCACCATCTCCTCTCTGGGACACAGGGCTCTCTGTGTCTCTCCCGCATGGCTGGAGGGAAGAGCCCAGCGTCCCACACTCTGAAGCTCGTCCCCGACGTGAACTGCCTCCACCCCCCACCCCGCCGCCCCCAGCAGCTCTCACTTGTGGGTGACAGCTTTCAGGAGGGGCCAGAAGACGGGCTGAGGCAGAGGCTTCTGGTGGGCACTTTTCTTCCTTTTCCCTCCGGCCTCGGCTCGGATGTGCTTGGTGTGTAGGCCATGGATGAAGACGGCTTCCAGGGCACTGCACATGCTGTTGGCATCTCCGTCTTCACTTGTGACTGCTGTGTCCAAGGACACGTACTGCTTCTGCAGTGCCTTCACGGAGCCCACTAGCTTCTTCTTGATGACCTGGGTGGCGCCAGACATAACACAGGCCTTTAGAGGCTCCTGTGGCGACCCCTGCAATGTGACTCTTCCTGTGGCCAAACACATGGGTCCACATGCATGCACAAATCTACATATCTGTGTAGCAAAACGAGTACAGGCTAACGGTAGAAAATAAAGAGAAAGCAGAAAGAAGAAAAGGAAAATCGCCCCAAGATGTGTTAGTTTTTGCAAAGATACGTGTGTTTTTAAAATTTCTTTGTTTTCTATTTTTTATTTACTTATTTATTGGCTGCACGGAGAGGCTTGCGGATTCTTAGTTCCCTGACCAGGAACTGAACCCGGCCCACGGCAGTGACAGCACTGGGTCCTAACCACTGGACTGCCAGGGAAATCCCTGTTTGTTTTTTAAACCAAACTTCAGTGAGCTGATAGCCATATAAACCTTGTGTTTAAATACTGGCTCCATCAGAGTCACAGCTATGGGAGCTTGGGTAATCCATTTAGGGCAGGGGTGAGGCTTTCCACCTTAATCACATGACCAACATTCCACTGAGAGTCAACAGGTTAAGAGTCAAAAAGTGCTGCTTTAGAACAATAAAAACACCCAGAAACAGGAGCACGGTTTACGTGAAGAAAGATCCTAGACCTGGCAGTCAGAGCCTGGGTTTAGTCTCAGCTCTGTCAGTCACCAGTTGGGTCACCTCAGATATTTCACTTAACCTCTCTGAGCCTCAACTTTCTCATCTGTTAAATGGAAATAATACTTGGTGATTTACAGCTAGGGGTATTACTCTTTGAAGGTAGGACTAGTTTTTTTTTTTTTTTTTTTTTTTTTTTT